CCCACAACCTTATTTAGTTTTGAATCCACCATCTTCCTTAGAATGCTAACTGAGTATGTGCCATCTGAATTAAAATTGAACCTAAACCCGATGTTTGAGGAAAGGGGGAAAACCATGGATCCGAACATTGCGTAGAACTCATGTAATTATGCCTTTTCGGCCCCCATCAACATAAACACAACCTTACTTTTATTTTATTATTTATTTATTTATTTATTATTTTTTGTTGTTGTTGTTAAATAAATTAATAGCTTCGTGATTTAGTAGGTTTGTCATTAGAATTGCTATGTTTTGATATTATTCAAAATTTTATAAGAATTTGAAAAAAAAAAAAAAAAAATTCTTTAAAAGCGGAGAATGTAGGTTTATTACAAATAGTATGGAATCACTTGATACCACTTGATGGCTAATTCCTAGGATCCGGGTGATATCAAGGGTGAGAGACAAGTTATGGAGATGTATATAAGACTACAATACAACCATAAGCTTGAGCTCCAACATAAATGGACCACTAAAGACAACGATAATGAAATGGACTTATGGAACAAAAAGGGTGAGAATATGTCAATCTATTTATATAAATGATGTTATCATGGCTATCACTGTTATGACCTCTTTCACAAAATTAGTAGAAGAGTATGAAGAAATATACCTTTTGAAAAAAATACTAGTTTTCAAAGTTTCATATGATATTGCTAAAGTATATGCATCGTACAAACATTGTGATTTGGCCATGAATAAAGTGACACACCTAGATTTCATTGAAACATTCAATTCTACTAAAAAAGACATTAATTTTAGGAGGATTCAAATACGTGTGTTACAGTATTTAAGATAAAGGATAAATTTTATAGATTTAGAGATATATACAAAGCTAGACTTGTTGCAAAAAGCTTTGATCAAGAATATAACATTGATTACGAAAAGATTTTTGCATATGTTCTTTGAGTTACCTTTAATTGTATCATTCTCGCTATTGTTGAAATTCGCTAAGAAAATCTTCCAAATAAATGTCAAGAATATTTTTTTCTAAATTGAAACTTGTTTGAAGTTTATATGAAGACTTCTCAAGGGTACCACATCATTCACATCATGTTTGTAGACTATGTAAGGCTCTTTATCATTTCAAACAACCATCCAAGGCATAGTTTAAAAAATTCACTATTATTATTCTCTTATTGGGATTTATTTCCACTCCTTATGATCTAGCTATTTTCATCAAGACCACCAACATGGGAACCAGGAACCAGGGTCGGCCCAGTCTAGGGCAAGCCGGGTTGCAGCCCAGGGCAATGTTATGGGTAATGTGTCATTTTGGGTCCCTTTAGATCCATAAAACAGTCTGGTCTATGAGTTATCGGTTCAAAGTGAAGGCATGAGTATGAAACCTAAAATTAAAGCGATCATTCGTTATATCAGTAGGCACAATTCTCCATTTGAAAGGCATGCTAAATGAAAAAGATGAGGCGTCCAGGGGAGTTAACAATTATATCATCTTAGTTCTTAAAAAAAAACACGCAATGGGAAGAAAAGCATCCCAAAGGGCTTTAAAAAAACTTTGCACATTCATATATTTTGATAGAAACTTAAAGTGATAGTTTTCTCCTAAGTTATTTAGTACTCACCTCACGGTTCTTTCCTTATTTAACTGTTGACAAAATTGCAAAAATGGTCCCCGTGGTTTCTTTTTTTATGTGGTTATGGTCCAAACGTTTGAAAAGTTGTAGATTTGGTCCTTTTCAACAAGTTTTATTGTGGTTTTGGTCCATCATCCGTTAAGTTTAACTGGTTGGCTGTTAACTTTTTTAAAATAACAATTTTACCCTCAGGGACCATTTTCGCAATTTTGTCTTATACCATACCATAAGGACCATTTTTGCATACATTCCTTTTTATTTTATTGAAGTATTATATTTTAATAAATATTATTTTTAATATATAATATTATATACTAACAAACATTGTTTTATTGGATAATTAATTTATTATAGTTGATTTTTTTTTTTAATTTTTTTTTGTTAGGGTAATTCTTTTTATTGAGTTATTATATATCAATACATATAGTTTTTAATATATAATATTTATATCATAATAATAAATATTATATTATTAGATTATTAATTTCTTTTAGTTAATATTTTTAATTCTTTTTATTGGATTATTTCTTTTATTTCTTTTAATTTATTATTTTCTTCTTATACTAAATATTGTTTTATTGGATTATTAATTTATTTTAACTAATTCTTTTTTAGAAAAAAATTGTCGAAGTAATTATTTTTTATTGAATTATTATATATCAATATATATAGTTTTTAATATATAATATTTATATCATAATAAATATTATATTATTGGATTATTATTATCTTTTAGTTATTTTTTGTAATTTCTTTTTTTTTTAAATATTTTTTGTTGGATTATTACTTTTAATTTATTATTTTCTTCATATACTAAATATTATTTTATCGGATTATAATAGTAGTTCTTGTTAATTTTATTGGTTCCACCACAAAGTCATGGGATACGCAAAATCGTGGTCTCTCATCATCGAAATCGTTAGGATCGTATCCAAACACTTTCATTTCATCTAGCTTATAATGAGAAAAACCATTGGGAGAATACCACCACCATCACCCGGTCACCACCATCACTTATAAATGTTATCGGGGTTTGTTGCGTATTATGTGAGATATGAAGGATTCCAGTGGATTATGAAGAAGTTGTCGCAGGTGGCTACCAACAAGACTGGGTGGAATAAGGTATAGTATCTATTGAACCTCCGATGAAGGTGTTTGGAGGTGATCCAACTAATTTTTGATGATGATAATCAACACTTTTACGTATTTCGGCGATTTTGTGGTGAAACTAATAAAATAAAAAACAATTAATACTATACATTCAAAATAAAACAATAATCCAATAAGATAGTATTTATTATATTAAAATTATAATAAATAAAAAGTAATATCTCAATAAATTAATAATTCAAAAAAAAATTACAAAAATTAATAATCCAATAATGTATTATTTATTATGATGCAAATATTATATAATAAAAATAATATTTGTTGATATATAATAATCTAATAAAAAAAATTGCTCAAACAAAAAGAAATTATAAAAAAAGTCAACTAAAAGAAATTAATAATCCAATAAAATAATGTTTCGTAAAATGTAATAATCTCATAACATAATATTTATTATGATATAAATATTATATATTAAAAACTATATATATTGATATATAATAATTCAATAAAAAAGAATTACTTCGATAAAAAAATTAAAAAAAATAATTAGCTAAAATAAATTAATAATCCAATAAAACAACATTTAGTATATGACGAAAATAATAAATTGAACGTAATAATAAAATAAAAAATAATTTAAAATTACAAAAATTAACTAAAAAAATTAATAATCCAATAATTTAATATTTATTATGATATAAATATTATACATTAAAAACTATGTGTATTCATATATAATAATTTAATAAAAAAAATTACTCCAACAATTTAAAAAAAAATCAACTAAATTAAATTAATAATCCAATAAAAAAATATTTATTAATATATATTGTTATATATTAAAAATAATATCTGTTAATATATAATACTTTATTAAAATAAAATAGAATATATGCAAAAATAGTCCTTATAGTATAGTAAGGAAATTGTCATTTTAAGGAACTTAACGGATGAGAGATCATAACCACAACAAAACTTATTAAAAAGGATCAAATCTGCAACTTTTCAAACTTTTAGACTATAATCACAAAAAATAAGAAACCACGGGGACCATTTTTACAGTTTTGTCTTCATTGTTTCACGCATCACAAAGGGCTTAATGTGACTTTCAGTTCTCTTTCACTCGTTCTCTTAGGTAAGTGTTTTTGAAATTCTAGTATAGTGTTTAAAACTTCATAAATAAAAGATTTCCGAATTCAGTCAAGTGAATAAGCCTCAATTTCTGCCCACACTAAACATCGGCTCAATCGTGTAAACATACAAATATAAAAGTGTTTTTTTTTAATTTTAGATTGTGTAGTAAAGTTGTCGAGCCTTAGAGTTAGAGGCCTAGTAAGTTTTTCTTAAATTGATTTTAGAGGCCTAGTAAGTTTTTCTTAAATTGATTTTAGTTACAGGTTTTGATTTCTGATGAATACCTAGAAAACAATAGCCTTACACGTGATTTTTTTGGTAACCACTACTTTCAATCCACTATATAATTTCAATTTCTCATATCTTATTGTAACTATTATTTTTTGTCATTTGATATGTAAATACGACATCCGACTTAATTTAGAGTTGAAATAAATTTAAAGATTAAAGTTTCAAAGTCTAAAGTTCATTAAATCTTCAAAGACGGTATGTTTTGGGATCATAATCAAAGTTTAAAAGTTAAAAGTTCAATGCTATCGAGGGTCTCAGTTCCAAAGTACATTGTTATTCTATGCATTGGTGAATCCGTTTCTCCCACCTACGCATTCTATCTGCTTTGAGGTCAGAGTTAAAGGTTAAAATTTAAAAGTGAAAACAATTATTTGAAATACCAATGATGATAAAACTTAGTGATTTAATTGTAGATATATGGAACAAAACATAGCTTAAGATATATGTTTAATATAAGTATTTAAAATATGACTTAAAGCACCTACTATTTAAAAATGTTTTTGACTTGCTAAACATTTTAACATACGTTGAATATATATATATATATATATATATATATATATATATATATATATATATATATATATATATATATATATATATATATAATCTGCCGATAGTACTATTATATAAACTAAGTAAGGAAACCACAATTTTTTTTAAAAACTAGCTTTTTGGAAACGACAAATATGTTGATAAATGCCCACGCTTAGCAAGTAGCTAAAAAGCACGAGGCAGTGTAACATTCTCAAAAATAACACTAAGTTTTAGTTTCATTTTGTCTCATCTTGTTTTTGGATCACGTATTCTGTACTTGTTTATCATCTAATCTTGCTCTTCTTCATCTTCATCACTTTGCAAGTCACCACCATGATACACTTGTGCTCTTACATCATTAGTCAAACTAGAATTTCTAATTTTTTCATCAGTTAGTAACACATTAAGAAATGCATCTTTACACTTGTCCAATGGAGTAACGAACTCCTCGTCTGGTTCATGATCCATGTAGATGCTATGAAGCTCAAAATTCATCTCATTAAGACCAGAGAAAGACTCATGTAAACCAAAAAATGGGTCTATGTTTCCTTCGTCTTCTGAATCCCAATCCATCATAACAACCTGAAAAAACACACATTATCGTTTAACCTCTGACAAACAAAGAACTGTAATAACACAATCTTCAAAGAAATTACACATACCCTGTGAAATCGACTCTCCAATAACCTAATCTTCTTCAAAAAGCCCTAATTTTGTGATAAATGATGTCGATTTTTTGAAGGATTCTGAGAAAGTATACGTTTACGTGCAAAAGGTTGAGATAAGGTGATGGGTAAACGGACATGACAGACGTAACGTTTGTGCCAACTCCTCAATTAAGTGCCAAATCAGCACATGGTAACCGGCTACTAAGGGTCCAACCTGTTAAAAGAGATATTTGATACATTTAGTGAAAGTATCCGACTTTAGTAACCCAAAAACTCATCCAAGGGTAAAACCGACATTTTTTAGAAAACTTAAGGGCTTTTATGACAATTTCCCTTTTTCGAAGTTTTAGAACACTTGTGTTAACACAAAAATCAAAATTCAAATAGGTTGATTGTTAGCCGAAACAATCTAAACGAGAGTTGAAGATATCGTTAGTATGATTTCATTGATATAAAGATAGTCGAGAGCGGATTTGGTATGGAAGAGTTATGATTTTTATATGGACTTTAACAATCTAAGTCTGTTAAAAAGTATAAATCTAAAAATAAATTGACAATTAAATGACGAAGTCTAAACAAAACTTGTGGATCTCATTAATAGCTATGCATGGATATAAAGAAAGTAAAAAAAAAAAATGAGTTCGTATGAAGAAAATATGAATTTTTAAGGATTTTCTGGTGGCATCACGCGCAGGAGGCGCGACAAACGCTTCTAGAAGCTAGCCACTTGTCACAAAGGAAAATGAGCAACGTCAACGTAAATGTAACACTCCAAAATTCAAGAAAAATTAAAATTTTCAAAATCAACCACTAATCAACAACATTTACAAAAAAAAGAGTCATTGTTTCAAATGTATTATTTCAAATCAGAGTTCTCCCAAGACCCAGTGACATAAAATAGGAAGTTTTGTATGATCACGCCGAGCGTGCTGAGTACGCTCGACGTACGCGTGCGAGACCAACCTTTCTCATGCATGAGTACGCCATGCGTACATCCCGAGTATGCACGACGTGCGGACCAAAATGCCAATCCTAATTATGTTAGGGTTAAAATGAACCTTTCTTGGAACGGGTGTTACAATTCTCCCCTCTTGAATGAGATTTCTTCCTCAAAGTCTGATGTTGCGAATAACTCAGAATAATGCACCTGCATCTCCGCCTCTGCCTCCCAGGTCCACTCGGAGCCTTTCTGATGTTTCAACTGAACCTTTACCAAAGGTATCTCCTTATTTCCGAGGACCTTCATCTTTCTCTCTACCACCGCTACCGTCCTCTCAGTATAATTCAAGCTCACATCGACCTAAATATCGTCCAAAGGGACCACTGCCTTATCGTCCAACACGTACTTCCGCAACTGTGAAACATGAAAAGTGTTATGGATCTGAATTAGGTCGCTCGGTAAATCCATCCGGTAGGCCACCCTTCCCACCCTGGCTATCACACGGAATGGACCAATATAATGGGGACATAACTTCCCCCTCTTCCTGAAGCGTATTACATCCTTTTAGGGTGATACCTTCAGTAGTACCATATCGCCGACCTGAAACTCTAACTCTGATCGATGTTGGTTGGCATAGCTCTTCTGCGGACTCTAAGTTGTCTGCAATCTCTACCCGATCTATTGGATGAGCTATGTAGTCTGGAGGACTACCTCAATCCTCTCCATGACTCTATGACCAACCTCCCCCCCCCCCCCTCTAACAAACTGGGGTACAACATCTCCGAACATACAGAAGCTTGAAGGGCGGTGCACCAATGCTAGAGTGATAATTTTGTTGTATGAGAACTCTATAAGAGGTAGGTAGGAATCCAACTCCTACCAAAATCTATGACACAATCTCACAACATATCCTCAAGTGTCTGGATGGTTCGCTCACTCTGACCTTCACTTTGCGGATGTTAAGCAGTGATGAAATGCAGCCTCGTACCCTGTTCCTCATGGAACTTATGCCAGATTGTGAAGTGAACTGAACATATCGATCTGATATAATGGAAACCAGAACCCCGTGACAAGCTAAAATTTCGCGAACATACACATCGGCCAATTTCTCAGCCGATGAGCTCTCTCGGATGGCCAAAAAGTGGGCACTCTTGGCTAATCGATCCATGATGACCCAAATAGCATCAAAACCCTTGGCAGTCCTCGGTTGATTGGTGATAAAATCCATGGTGATCTATTCCCACTTCCACATGGGAACTTCCAAAGGTTGCAGCTTTCCATGCAGCCTTTGTTGCTCGGCCTTGATCACCCTACAGGTGAAGAACCTCTCAATATACCAAGCTATCTTGCTTTTCATACACGGCTACCAATAACTTAGTCTCAAATCCATATACATCTTGGTAGCTCCCGGATGTATCAAAAAGTGAAACTTATGTGCCTTCCCCAAAACTATCTGTCTGACCCAGCCAGAAATCGAAATCCAAACCCGACCACACCAGGTCAACAATCCCCGACTATTGGTGACAAATCTGTCGATCTGGCCCATGATCCTCTCCTGTTTCTAGTTCTCCTTCTTGAATCCTTCTGCCTATGCCCCTATGATCAAATCCAAAAGTGAAGAATCGGTGGATATCCTCATACACATATCCACAATTGAAGATCCAGCCGACTAGCGACTCAAAGCATCCGCGGCCACATTCGCTTTACCCGGATGGTAAAGGATCTCACAGTCATAATCCTTAACCACGTCAAGCCATATGTGTTTCCTCATGTTCAAGTTTGGCTGGTCCATGAGATACCTCAAACTCTTGTGATCCGTGTAGATGGTACATTGGACCCTATATAGATAATGTCTCAAAATCTTGAGGGAAAACACTACTACCCCTAACTCCAGATCTGTAACATCCAAATGTCATGTATTTTTATTATTGCTTTTATTTTTATCAAAGGTGGCACAATTGGTGCCTTGAGGAAGAAGGGTTGCATTGAGTTTGTACGCATGACGTACTTAAGAGTACGTGCAACGTACTCATGCAACATGGAATCGCGGGTGATCATATTGTACATTCAGCGTACATGTGGTACGTCGGGCGTACTAACCTAGACTTCAAACCCTAATCTTAAGGGTTGCTCCCTATTTAAACAACATTATGTTCCCATTTGATCATCCTTAGCAGCCACCATACGCTCCCTAAACCCTAATTCTGAGTTTGAGTTGCTTGTGTGACTTTTCCAAGAGTATTGAAACATACCCTCCTTAAAACCTAATTCTGAGTTTGAGTTGCTTGTGTGAGTTTTCCAAGATTATTGAGTGTTTTAGTGCATCTATTGAAGAAGGAGACTAAAGAAGAAGGAGTGGGTGCTAGCAAGCTTGTAGATCTAGAAACCTTTCCTCTTTATGCATCATTTTCAGGTATAAAGTGTATACATTGATAAGTTTTCCATTAGATCTACATGGTTAAAGTTTTATGAACTTTTGTCTCCAAGATTGGACCTTTATAAGTTTGGAGCACTTCAGAGGCTTATAGTTGTCCTTTCATGCATTATAGGACTTGTAGATTCATAAAAATGATTGCTTGATCAATTTCTATGGCCCATGCATTAGCAAAGTTGCTTAGAATGTGTTAGAATTTTAAGATTGTTGCATTGCGACTTTTCTAGCCATGCAAAGGCTTAAAGTCGATGACTTTATGGAACAAGACATTGTCACACCCCCGAACCGCAGAAATGGCAGAAATGACTGGGGGTTGGGTAACTTCATCTTGTAATATCATCACAGTGTATATAATTGAAACGAGAAAAAATCATCATCACACATACAATAATACAACAATATTGTGTTTACATCATTGTACTTGTTTATAAAAGTTACATCCCAAAAATATAAAGTGTATGATAGCAACAAAATGCAACAAAATCCACATGTTCTTGATGTCCACCTGCTTAACGATTTTATGAGAATACAAGTTATTTTGAAAACATCAACATATATAATGTTGGTGAGTTCATAAGCATGTAGAATAAAAATTTTTGTAATAGTTTGTAAACGCCAGAAAATCCGATATTTTCTAGAAAATGTTTTGAAAGTTTTGTATCAAATCTTGTGTTAAAGCATGAGTGTTTCTGTTTTGAAAATTTATAAAAAGTGTATTCCAGGAAATCCTATGCTTCTGTTGTAAGTAGATGGTATTGTTTAGTTGTATGTTTTTCCAAAAAAAATCCGATATTTTATGATTATAAAAGTGTTGTTGTAACAACGTAATTTTTCAAAGCAAATTTTCATTTCTTTAAAACATAATTTCATTCAAAACAAACCATAAAAATCGAATGTAACGTAGTCATAATACAAAACATGTCAAATCCCAAAATCAAATATATTCCAATCCGCCTGCGTGTGCGTGTGTGTACGAGTCATGCCGGCATCTTCCCACGGTCCTCGCTAGTACCTGAAACATATAACACAATAACTGTAAGCATAAATGCTTAGTGAGTTCCCCAAAATACCACTTACACACATACGCCCTTCCAGGCCATGACCTTCCAGTCCATGTGTCTCAGGGGACTTCCGTCCCGACCCGGTAAACCTTCGGGTCCTACCCGTGTCGACCTTCCGGTCCATAACTCCCTGACCTTATGGTCTACATCATATTCCTTCCAGCCCATATCAAGCATATCATACATAACACATACAAAACAAGCAACTTAACATACAATGCATATATCTTATAGCATATCAGACCTTCCGGTCACACATAGGTACCCTTCCAGGTACAGTATAGTGAGAAGACTCACCTCGTATGATGTCTAAAGTCTCACGTGCTTGATATCTCTAAATCTCGTAACCTCAACCTAGCCTCGCCTAATCACATCAAATAATCATTCTAAATCATTAACGACTCTTAAGGCTATACTATATTTCTTTCTAAAATTCCACAAAAGGGTAAAAGACCATTTTACCCCTCCCTAACCCAAAAGTCCACATGTTGATTAAAACCCTAAAAGTCAACAAAAGTCAACAGCAACTAGTACGCGGGGCGTACTCTTGCACTCCAGGAATGGGGTACGCGACCCCCTACGTGGCGCGTATTGGGATTACGCCCAGCGTAATGCCCAGTTTCTTTATTCAACACATTCATGTCTTAAACGGTTAAGACTTGCATCCAAACTTCAGATCCGACTCCTCTAATATGTCTTAAT